GTGCACTACGTGATGTTATGATGTGGAATAACGATAACCAAAAATCATAAAACCATGACACTTCTAAGCCTGGTAGTCACAGTGTAGATATCTTGCTTCTGAAGCCTTATTTGCATTTTTCATGTCTAGGTAGAGACTGGGGGAGTAAATCCCTCCCCCCCCCACACACACTGTAAGGGCAGAGCAGGTCTGAGACTGCCTCAGTGAGTCATGAGTCTGAATGCATACAATGACATGCATCCCAGGGTTCTGAAGGAGCTGACTGAGGCGGTTGCTGAGCTGCTCTCCACGATATTTGAAAAGTTGAGGCTGTCAGGAGAGGTCCCAGGTTATTGGAAAAAGGGCCATATCATTCCTGTTTTTAAAAAAGGCAGCAAGGAGGACCCAAGGAACTACAGGCTGGTGAGTCTCACCTCTGTGCCTGGGAAGATGATGGAACAGATCCTCCTGAATGACATGATTGTTCACATGGGGAGTGAGTGTGAGATCTGAGACAGCCAGCACAGCTTCACCAAGGGAGGGTCATGACTAACTAATCTGGTGGTCTTCTATGATGGAGTGATGGTGGACAAAGTGACAAGTGTCATTTACCTGGTGTTGAGCAAGGCCTTTGACACAGTCCCCCACTACATCCTTATCTCCAAATTGGAGGGATACGGATTTGATGGGTGGACCACCCAATGGATAAGGAATTGGTGGAAAGGCCGCAGAGGGTGGTGATCAAAGCTCATTAAGAACCACCACAGCAAAGACATCGCTCTGCCCTCTTGGCCGTAATCACCGCCGCGGCACGCGGACTGCCGGCACTCCCTACACACCGCCCCGCCGCCCACCCCGCCCCGCGCCCCCTCGGCCCCTGAGCCCCGCCCCCGCTCGCGGGGCAGCTTCGAAGAAACGCCCACCCCGCTCTGCCCTCCTCTGATTGGTCAAAACGCCAGGGACAGACCGCAACGCGATTGGCCAGCGGCGCCGTCACTCAGCGGCACGACGGCAGGCTCGCGTCGGCTGGGCTCGGTAGCGGTTTGACGCCGCCGTTGCGGATGTGTACGAGTGCGCGCGGGTACGCGCTCGCGGGAGGGGGGCGGGGCGGCGCGCGGCCTGGCCGTTAGGCGGTCGGCGAGCGGCGCATGCCGGCTGGGGCCGGCTCCCCGCCCCGCCGCGGCCCGTCACGTGACGGCATTCAGTGGTTACAGCCGAAGCGGGCGCCTTCTCGCCGCCGCTCCTCGCGCGCCGCCCGGCGGCGGCCGTTTCGCTTTCATTTCCCGGAGGCCGAGGCCGAGCGGCTGCGGCGGCGGCGCGGAGCGAAGCGGCCCGCAGTGCCGCCCCCATCCCCCCGCCCCGCCCCGCGCGGCCCCACCCCCGCGGGCTCGCGGTGAACTGAGATTCCCCTTCCCCTCCCCCGCCCGGCACACGCACACCGCACACACACACACCTTGGCCTCCTCTTCCTCCGGCTCCAGGAGAGAGAGAGAGAAAGAGAAAAGCAGAGGGCGAGGCGCTGGGCCTGGGCCTCCCGCACCGCGCCGCCGCGCACAACATGGAGGAGCTGGTGGTGGAGGTGCGCGGCTCCAACGGGGCCTTTTACAAGGTACCGCGCGCTCGGGCCGGGCCTCGGGGGAGGGAGCGGGGCCCGGGACTGGAGGAGGAGGAGGAGGAGGAGGCGACGGCGGCGACGGCGGCGACGGCGGCTCCTCCCCGCGTGGAGGGAGAGCGGGGCCCCGGGGCGGGAGGGAGGAGTGGAGGCCGCGGCCGGGCCGTCGCCGTGCCCGGGAGATGCGGGCCCGGAGCCGGGAGCTGTGCGGGCGGCGGAGGGAGGGAAGGCCCCGCCGAGGAGGAGGCCTCGGGCCTTCGCCCATTGTGGGAAGGGGAGGCCCCGGGGCTGCTGGGGCGGGAGAGGAGGGCCGGGGCTTTGGTCTGCCGGCGCCGGAGCGAGGATCGGGGCTGGGGATGGGGCGTTAATTGTTAAATCCTTGGCTTTTGTCGCTGCTTAAGGAAAGTCTTTCTCGCTGTCCAGGTTCCCGGCGGAGCTGCACGGCGTTTAAGGCGGGGGAGGAGAGGGGTGTTTGTTCCATGCACGTTCACGATGAGAGCTGTTGTCAATTATTTTTCTTAATGCCGCGGCTGGGGACGTTGCATATTAACATTAAAGAGAGCGTTGCTTGACCAAAACTGTTTGCTGAGCTGCTAAGTGCATCTCATCATCAATTGTACCTTTTCCTGAAACTACTGAACAGCGTTCCGTGTTCGTTTCCAAGTCTGTGTGCTGAATAAAGCCATCACTGATTCTTCAATGCACGTATTGAGTTCTTAATATTTCTGTTAATACTGTGTAGTATTGGCGTGGCTTTGCTTGTGTTGGGATGCATTAATCAGTGCATTATTAGGGTGCAAGGCGTGGTTCTGCCCTGTTCCCTGAAAACCCAAGTTTGAGCATGGTGAATTTGGGCCTACTGTCATTGTCACGTACACCTGTTACAAACATACCAGGAGCACTCCTCAGTCGTTTTCTGCAAGTTTACCGTTATTTAAATGTTGTAGTATTTTAAAATTTGGACGTTGTTATTGTGCAACATCAAATATTTATGTTAGTAAGGAAAGAAGAGGTAGAATTTCACGCTCTGATGTTAATGTGGCAGGGCAGGCTGGTGTCCGAATGATACAGGTCCAACACCCTTGACTTGAGGTTTTTCCATGGAGACAATTTGAAAACTTATTTCTAAAATACATCCTCATTCTGGAGATGTTTAAAATAAAGAAAAAAGGAAAGTATGGAAGAAGTCTGAAAGCTTGGTGCACGTATGTATGCTGTGGGTTTGTAATGTTGAAGTCCTGGATGTGCATATCACTTCCTGTAATTAAGTTATTTAGTGCTTTGAAAAATCAGCTTTAAGTTTTTTAAAGGTACAGTATTTGCATAGGAAAAAACACGGGCATAAATGTATTAAGAGAGAAGTTCTGATGGGGCTTTCATCAAATTATATAACAATATTTACAAAATAAATGATACTGAAAATGATATTGTACATTCTTTAATAACCAATGTTGTTAAACCAGGGAGAATATAAAAGTTCTGTCAATTTTTTTAAGTCACATGTAGTTCTGATGTCATTATGTTCTTTTTCCCTTTCCTCCAAAATGTATGCACACTTCTGATTGTAGTTAAGGTAATAATTACAGATAGGCATATACTCACAGCAATTTATTCTTTACTGTAGTTCAGTGTATCTAAGTTCTGACATGGGCGTTGCCTCCAAATTGGGTATTATGTTTGCCTTTTAACTTTTAGAAATTCAAAAAGAGGAATTTTATTTTCCCTACCCTCCTTAGTCTCTAAGGATTGGTTGGGAGGGATTGGTTGAATTATCTAAGGGAACTTAAATAGGACATATAGGTTTATTACACTTCACGTGTATTGACTGTCTAGGTGGAGCATTACACTTAAGATAAATGGTGCAACAGATTAATTTTTTTTTTTTTTTTTTTAAAGCAATCTCACACAGTTATAATCAATGTAGATCAGCAATTTTCCTCCAGCCTAAATTGCTGGAGTTTTAGTTACAGATCTTTCATGTATCGTAATGACAAGTGTCACGCTTCTATTAAGTAATTTATCCGAATGTTCTCTTTCTTTTGAGTTTTATGCTTGTCTTGCAGATCTGGGATTTGATTATAAAATGGATTGATTAATCCAGGATAACAAAAAGTGTGGTGATGTTAAATGTGGACATAATTGCAAGACTCGTTTTTTTGTTTTGTTTAAGAAGTTTCCTTAGAAATGTTTTACAGCAATAACACAAAACATATCTAAAGCAAAATTTCTTAATTCCATTTCATGGTTTACTGATGCTTAGTGGTAGTTTCTTTGGCTTCAAATCATTTTTGTGATCTTCATTGTTACATGCAAATGTTTTGGCAAACAAAACCTGCTGCTATGAGGATGTAGAGGGAAAGCATGTGAGGCTGCTAGAGTCGTGAACGTATGGAGTGGTACAAGTGAGTACCTCATTTCCCCTTGAGGCTTTCATAGAGTCTCTAAAGACCATATGAATTCAAGTCCATAAGCATGTTCTGATTTTGAGTGTTCCCAGCAACGTCTTGATCTTGAAAGTAGGAAACTGATGCCTAATTGTCACCTAGAAACTACTGAGAGTCATTAATTAGGCTTTTTTCTGCTTATGCTGCCTGTGGGACTTGATCCAGAATGCGTGCTGAGATGCATCTAGAGGGACGGCGTTCCACGCGTAACACAAGAGATGATTTTGGTACTTCAGTAGGTGGAGTATGCATTCAGAGCGTGGAAAATTTTAACTCAGCTTTCGTACTAGTCAGGTACATTGTTCCACAAGAGTTCTTGAATGCATCATTTTGATAGCTGGATATTAATTTTTTCATGGAGTAATGATTTAATTATGTTAAGAATGCTTCACAATTCCATGAACTTTTTCTCCTTTCCCATACGAATTGTTCCATGGGAAGTACAGTGCAGTGAATAAGCATGATTTAGGAATAATCACTAATTTAGTGCCTAAAAATGCTTTGTCATGACTTAATATATTGCTTGGCCCACAATCTCTATAAAAGATTAAATACCCTTTTTTTTTTTTTTTTTTTTTTTTTTTACTTTGAAGGCTATTCCAGCAGCCAGGGCTGTGTATCTTAAGGGGAGGGAGCTGCCCTTCAGCAGCTCTCAGCTAAGTAGCTAGATTGTGGAGTGCTGTTAGGTGCATCTCTTAACATCTGTTGGTTCACGCAGGTACAGTAATCGAAGTTTCCATGTTCTTATTCTCAGACAGTCTGTTGTCCAATCTTTCCAGCCTTAGCTCTAGATATCATTTCCTTCGAAAAGGGAACGTGGTGGATATCTTTCCAGCATGGGATTTATGTTTTGTTTTCTTTTTCCTTTCCCCAGTTTGGGAATAATTACCGCTTGTAATCTCTGCTGGAGATAGGAAGCATCCTGTTGGAGGCAGTATACACTTAGGAAGCATCATCATTCTCTTTGTTCATTCACAGTCCTTCTGAGGCCTGTGCTATTTTTTCTGATTCAGTTTTTGTTTCTGTTACTTTTCTTCTTTTCCTGGCCTACTTTTTTGTATGGTGTGCCTTTTCTCAGATTTGGTTTGCTGTTCCTTACGACGCTTTCCTTGCAGCAGGAATAAAATGTTACAGAACTGTTGGGCAGATGTAGATACTGGTTTGTATAAATGTAACAGCCTTATTATTTTTGCCTGTTCTCTCTTCTTAAATTTAGTAGAACCATTTTAATAATGGAGGATATCTGATGTAAGGGTTAGGGAGGACAACAACTGCAAAAACACTTAATGGCAGCTGGAGCCTGTGTTGTTCCTTTGACGTGTCCATTCTGCCGTTTAGCACATAAATAAGTATATAGGTGCCTCCAGTAAGTCTTTCTTTCTGTTTAGTCATTCATAAAACTTAGACCATATCTTTATCATTCAGCTCTTCCTAGAATGTCAGTGTTCATATGTGACAAAGACACTGTTGCTGTTTGATTGTAATCTTTTTTTGTTTATGTCTGAAGCATGGAGAAAAATGCTAATCGTTAATGTGACTGAAAGTCAAATCTGGTGTAGGAAACGTGCCACAGTTTGATTCTTCATCTCACGGAAGAACAAGCAGTCCTAGCCTCTGTAATACTTCTATTTACAGAATTAAAAGCACAACTTCCAGTGATTTGAATTTCTTCTTATGTACTCTAATTTGATGTCACTGCAGTTGTGATATCATAGCATGCTGTAGTCAAATGAGACAGCGTCTCATTTCCTTATTTTAGTTCCATCTAGTTTCACTGTTTTTAGTGCTTCTTGCGTGTGTTCATATTTCTCGTAGCCAGTGTTCTGTCCCTTTTTGAGTGTGCGTTTCAAATCCACACATTTGAACCTTTAGGTTTGAATTTCCATGCCCAGTTTGAACTTGTTTTTTCCAGAAGGACTGAGGATTACTTACTGTGCTTTTGGTAGCAATTTGTGTGAAATCAGTGCCTATCCTCTGCCTTCAGTGACATCTGGGACTGCCCTGTCTTGTTATTGTGAATTTGACTTGTGATGCTAATGATCTGTTTCTTCTTTTCAGCATTATGTGTAGTTTTCTGTGGTATGTGTAATAAAAAATATAGTTGTATTGAACGTTGCTTTCAGCTTTCCGAGTGCTTTAATGATTAAGTTGAATTTTTTTTATAGCTACTTATGAAACTTGATGTTTCAAAACATTATGTTTTGTACTTAGAAATGCACAGATGCTTAGGTGTACAAACTTAGTGTTTAATTTTTACTTAATACAGGTCTGTTTAACTTCTTATACTTGTGAAGAATAGATATAATGCTGTAATACAGGCTATAAAAACTGATCTGATCAAGGCATTGGATTTTTTTCTTTGTCACAAGATTGGAACAAGGAAAGCCAGCTTTCTCTGATTAGGTAGAATTAGGGGACTGTATGTTTAGGCTATTAATATATTTTGCCTGATTGTTTTCTAAGCATAAAGCTCATTGCAGAAGTAGACTGAGGTGTTGTATATGCTGTATTTTTGAATTGGGGTATTTTGCTAGGGATTTTATGTTTGTAAGATCAGCAAGGCTAGAAATTAAAGGGCAAATAAGTAACATCAGTGTTTTTGGCCCAGCTGGTGGAAAAAGCAGATATTCTATCTGTTCCTGTGGCTGATTCCTCTGGAGTCAGTGAGACATCTGTACCAATGCTACTTATTGACAGTCAAAAATATTTGATTCAGGCATGTTCAGATTTCTGGGTTGAGGCCAAGGCAATGTTGAAGATCTCCTTAAGAGGAGCCTGCATAGTAGCTGGAAAGTGAGAGAACACTATTATAACTAACTTATAAATCTTTGCACATTATTGAGATCATCTTCAGCCTAATGAAGCACACCTTCTTTTATTGTGGGACAGACAGTAACTGACAAAATCTCTTCAATTGCTGTACTAGCTCTTGAGTCTTTAAACGAGGATGTGATGTTAAATTGAAAACAATTATTACCCTTAGTTAAAAATTCTTTTAATTAACTATTTGCTTTACATTTTTTTAGATTTTATAAGTGCTAGATCAGTCTTCGGCTTGATAACTTGCATTTGTGTCACTATCTAGTTTGTTTATTGATGGCAGATTGCAGAATGAGTACCGCTAGTTGCTTATGTTGCTGTAGTGAGGAGCTTCTACTCAGCATGGCTTGGATGTTAGGAGCTGTCAGGCCTGAATGAGAATGTTTTTTAACTACAGCACTCATGTATTTCTGTCATAACCCATACTCTTCAACAGAATGATAATTGGAGCATCTTCTGGTGTTTCAATGACTAGAGAGGGGATGACTTCTCCAAAAGGATTATTAGTCTTCTTTAGCAGAAACAATTTTTGCTGTTTTGTGAATGTGATAATCAAGTATTAAGAAGTTACTTCTCAGAATGCTGTATTATGTTACTCTTAACTGTTTTTTTTTCAAGGCTATTCTTGTTCTTGGTAGCGTTTCTGTTAGATTTCCTTTATAAAATAGCTTGTACTTTTTGTGTACTCGAATGTTACTAATAATAAGTCCCATCTTTTCCATTCTGTGGTGTGAAGGAGTCGTAGCAAACGCTCGCTGGTGATTGTAGTGTTATTTCAAGTATTAAAGGCATCAATTTCTGTTCCATCTGTAAGAATAGGTGATTCAGAGCTGCTCATGGCAAACGTTTTGGACAAAATGTGGAATCTTTGATATGTATAGTGTTGCAAATCAAATCAGGTCTACCATGGTACCTGTGAAATACATGTTTTTCTGGAGTTCTCTTGCAGAAGAGACAGCAATATGAAACAGTACATAAGTGTTCAACTGGGAATTCTGTTGCCTTTTTATGTAAATAGTTTCTTGTTCTACTGTCAACTTGATGCAGAGATACGGTTCTAGATCTACTCTGTTTTATATTATTGAAACATAAACTATGTTTGCCACTCCCTTGGAAAGAATATCTTGGAATTTCAAAATAAATATCTAAATACTATTGGAGCCTGAGAGCATCCTTTGGGTGCTAGCCATAATAAACTTCTCAGAAACTTTATTCTTATGGTATTGTGAGAGGTGAGCAAGATGTAAATAGTCTTTTGCTTTTGTTGTTGCTTTGCTTTAACTTCTGTTAGAGATGGCATTGATTTCAGATTATTAACTAGCATTCTACTTCTTTATTGTGGAGAATGTCTCTACTGAGAGTTGTGAATACGTACTGCTTACTTTAATCATAATCAGTTATTGGAGCTCCATATTGGTCATCAGGTACTGCTTTTGTTTGGGTCTGTGAGATGTCCCTGCAATTTAGCATGTGCTTGAGAATACTTAATGAAAGAAGTGCTGGTGGAGTTTTTTTAAAACTCTTAAGTGCTATACCTAACAGAGTCTAAACACTCTTAAGATGTGCTATTCTTTTCTTGGAAACTTGAAAAGAGGAGAGAAGGATATGTGCTACAGTTCATTAATTACAGTTTACAGGAAAGCTGCTGCTAAGTTACTTTCAGTTTACTGAGAATTTGTTCAACTACTGCGATGCACCGCCTTTGACAGAATTAACTTCTGTAATTTCTCTTGTTCTTGGACTTTCATCCACCTCTACCTTGCAAGTGCGTGAAAAGCATGGGCAAGTGCTAGTGTAATACTCAGCACATTGCTAATGCTTATTTCAGTAATTTTAAAGGTATTTTTGAAAGGAGGGAAACAGCGCAATATTTGAAACCCTCATTGCTATGCACCCTCTGTTTGAGGCTATGGAAAATATTTTCACTAGTGAATCCCAAAGCTTTTTAAGTAGAATATCATCTTGGAATTCAGTGGATGGGGAAGCTTGAGCATAAAGCTGAGAAATATCAAGGATCATTGACTTCAGTAGCATAAATGGAAAAAAGCACCCTCTAGGCTTAGATTTAACTCTGTACTCTGCTTCGTGGTTGTGTGGAGACTCAGCACAACTGCTATTCATTGCCCAGAAGAAAACAAGGAAGGCTGCAGGGCATTTTGCTTAAGTTTGTGTGCTAAGGCTGCTGACTGTATGAATGAGAATTGTATCAGAATGGAAATGTATGATTTCTGGTGGATCAGTGTATGTGAACTGCTGAGTCATGGCCTGAACCTCTGATTGATTACCTGAGGCGAGCCATGAGTCAGCCAGAGGAGCACAGGTGAAGGCAATTCACCTGTGCTGCCGGAAGGGGTGGAGCCAGGCTGCACCCCTCCTAGACCTATTTAAGAGCTGGCTACCAGAGGGGAAGGATCTCTTCTGGAGATCACCTCTCTTGGTGTTCTGTGGTGAGCTCAGCTGAAGGGTAAGCTCTTCCACTTACTCTCCTTTTGTTATCATTGTCTACTTTGCCTATCTCTCTTGATTATATTGTGATTATAACATCTTGATATCTATTGATTATACAATTATATTGTGATTATAACATCTTGATATCTATTGATTATACAATCAGTATTCAGGCTTACCTTGTGGTGAAAAAGGTGGGATTTTTTTAAAGAGTAGTCGTGTTTAATTTCTGAACTATAGTTTTCTTGTCAGAAAGTACAAAGTGATAGCTATAACTCAAGTTTAATATATTGGATTTCACATCTCATAATTCAGAATGATTTTGTCATTTGTTACTGACCCCTTCCATTATTTCTGAAAAGCAGAAAGGCTGTGTGTGTTGCTCGGGCATTCTGTCTATCTGCATGTTGACAGTCATGAATTCTGGGTTATCAGCTTTCAGTATGTGTCTTATATTTGTCTACTGCAAATTGCTGGAGGTTGACTCAAGAACATATTTACATGCTGAATAATACTAATTTCTGTGGAAGGAAAGCATTGTTTGAGGCTTGTTCTTTAAAAGCATCTGTAGGCATACTGTAATTGTACCTTTATTTTCTTCACAGGCATTTGTAAAGGATGTACATGAAGATTCGATAACAGTTGCATTTGAAAACAAGTAAGTATATTGCTGCTATATCTACAAATATGGAGTTAAGAGTTTCTGTCTTGAATCTGATGAAGCTAAATAGAACTTATGATGATGGAGAGTGGCATCCTTAAGATAGTGTATGCTTCTGCTGGCATGTTAAGAATTAAGAGATTAACTACTATCAACGTTTTGTCTGTGCTTTCAATTGTTTAAATATTTTAAGGAATGAAACTAGGAAAAGGTGAATGTTCTAGAAAATATTTTACTGGACTTCGATAATAGCAACCATGTTTAAAGTAAGCGGTGATACCATGACAGCTTCTATCTGATGAGAATATTTTAATATACATTTTCCTGATTGCATTATTACAGAACTTGTTTTATAGATGGTGATGAATGCCAGTTTCCCGAGCTTAAATTTTTTACCATCACTTGGTGGCACAGCAAGTTAGCCTTGTGTTACATTGCTTAGCTCAGGTTTTGTTTCCTGCAGGAATTAAAAACCAAGATGGTGTGTGTATGTGTGTGTGTATATGTGTATGTGTGTATACATATATAATTTTATCTGGTGTGTCTTTGTTATGGAGTCCTGTATTTTTAGGAATTGTTTTGCGGTTACTGTTGAAAAAAATCTTTTCTTGTCATGTTAATTATATTGAATCTTAAAGAATCTTAAAATTCAAACTGAATTCAGACATAATCTGGATTATTTGTAAGGTATAGATGAAAGGAAGAGACTGATTTTTTGAAGTAAAAGTTCAAAAGTGTTAAGAAATTTTTTAACCTGCATTTTGATGTTGGGGGTAAAACCTGTAGCTATGAATTGTAAAAACAACTGGAAGATTTCAAAACAGTACAGATAAGAGCAAGATTCTGATGTACGTGCACAAAAGCTCTGCAAAACTGTGAAAACGTGAAGTGAATGAATTTTCAACACAGTTCTGACTTCTGTATTTCTTAAAAAGAAAGTGAAAGTGTTTAGGTCATTCCCTGTATTTTTGTTTGCAGCTGGCAACCAGAGAGACAAATACCATTCCACGATGTGAGGTTTCCACCACCTGCAGGCTACAATAAAGACATAAATGAAAGTGATGAAGTCGAGGTATGTATACACTGTTAACCAAGTTTGTTCTTGAGAAGTGAGAGAATTTGGGGTGAAAATGTCAGCCAAGCCAAGGAAGGCTTGTCTCTGTATTATATGTTGTAACTCTTTTGATTCCAAATACTGAATAGAAAATGATGTCAAACATGCCATCAAAAGGTATTTTGACAGTATAACAATATCATTATGTGCACACTGATTTACAGATGAGATCAGATTTTCTTTGATTATGGGTTCTTTCTTTGTCAGAACTCAGTGATTTGGAAATATGTGCTATGTTAGTTTGGACAATAGTTCTTTAACTACATTTAGACTTTATAATAACTTTTATCTACATAGGCAAATAATAATGTCATTTGTTACCAAAGCTTAAAACTGAATGAAAACATGAAAATTCTGTATGTGTATATAGTTGCTCCAAAGGTAATGCCTTCTGTTTACTTCCATGGAAGCTATAGCAGTTATAAAGAGCACAATGTCAGAATCACAGAATAGTAGAGGGTGGAAGGGACCTCTAGAGATCATAAAGTCCAACCCCCCCTGCCAGAACAGGCTCCCAAACTGGGTTTTACAGGTGGGCATCCAGGGGGGTCTTGAAGTTCTTGAATGTCCCCAGAGGAGGAGGCTCCACAACCTCTTTGTTCCAGCGCTCCATCACCCTTACTGTGAAGAAGTTCTTCTGCACGTTTGTGCAGAACTTCATGTACTTCAGACTGTGCCATTTCCCCTTGTCCATGCACCACTTAGAAGAGTCTGGCCTCATCCCTTTGCCTCCTGCACCTTAGATATTTATTTATTGATCAGATCCTCTCTGAGTATTCTTTTCTGAAGGCTGGACAGACCCAAGTTGCTCAGCCTTACCTCATAAGAGAGATTCTCCAGGCCCTTTATCATCTTTTTGGCCCTCTGCTGGACACTATTTGACAGCAAATTCGCAGCTGTGAAACACAGTTTTTCAATATAGCCACCATTAGCATTTTTGCCAGCAATGAGCAAAGGCTGAGCTCATAAAAATCTGCACGAGCAGATGTCACCTGATAAACGTCAATGAGTGATGTTTTTTCTGCGTGGAGGAGTTCATTTCCATACCTTTGCTTCATACGCACTTCTCTGTCAGGCACCATTCTGTCAGACTGCCTCTCAGCTGTGGTCTGTCACACAATAACAAACTGTAACAGAATATGGACAGGAAGGCTCACTCTCTGCTGTCATACCACCGGCTTGCACCTCTGATGTCAAAGTAGCAGGCATTACTTTTGGAGCAGTCTTTATATGTATTCCTGCAAAATACAAGTCAATATAAAGATATATCTGTAAATACCTCTGTAAAGCTAGCAGCAGCCTGCATTTTAGTATTACATGTTCCTGAAACTTCAACTTTCTATAAAGCAATAATATTTAATTTTTTAATTTTTATAAAAAATAAGAGAGCTTTGAGTACTTAATAGCATGCAAGCAAAACTTCTGATTTGAAAAATAAGAAAATGTCAAAGAATTAATGTAGTTACAGCCAATATCGTATATGTACTGAAGTAGTAAAGATGTGTCCTCCTGTCATCCCCCCACTACTTCGATCTGCATACAGGTAAGAAGCGTTGTATAACATACAAAAGGCTGAATTTTCTCTTTTTTGACTGCACGCAAGACTGAAGCAACAATTGCTGGTAGATCTCTATGATCTTTTATAAGTAGTCTTATATTCTACTTATATTTGCAATAGCTATTTCAGCTGTCTGTGTGCATGCTATTTAGTTCTTAGATTGGAGACTGTAAATACTGATATGTTGTGCTGGTCTTCACGTCTTTTGCAGAGCTGATGCTGATACTAATCTGTATCAGCTTTTGGGCTACAGCTGTATAACGTGTGTATTTTGTTCAGGTTTATTCCAGGGCAAATGAAAAAGAACCCTGCTGCTGGTGGTTGGCTAAAGTGAGAATGATAAAGGGTGAGGTAGGAATATGCATATAAATATATACTTATTTTTTCTTGTGTTGCTTTCGTTTATTTTGATGCAAAGTGACTTTAGAATTTCTCTCTGATTTCAAAAAACTACTTCGCTAGGACAGTTGCAATTACCATTAACTTTGATCTAGAAATAGAAAAGTTCAGATTTCGTTTTTGAGTTAGCAAAAGTGCCTCTAACTTGGTAGTGTAGTTCTTACTCTTGTAATAAAACGTGTCTTGGATGATTTTATTATTTTTATATCAGTTTTATGTAATAGAATATGCAGCCTGTGATGCTACGTACAACGAAATTGTCACAATCGAGCGTTTGAGGTCTGTGAACCCTAACAAACCTGCAACGAAAGATACTTTCCATAAAATCAAACTGGAAGTACCAGAGGATTTAAGGCAAATGTAAGTGCAAGTATTTCTTTACAAATTGTTTCAAAACACGGGTAACTTCTTGAGCTTGAGGAAAGAAGGAATAAAAATGCTTCTTATTGCCCTAAAGTAATTTTAAAAATATTCATTTAAAAATATAGCAGGTACAAATGTGAATATGATCATAGCTCAGAATATAAAAGATTATCTTTAAAATGTAATTTAGTTCTGCTGGATTTAAGGGTTGTGTGCAGAACAGATGTAAGTTTTTTATTTATTGCCATTTGCTTTCTTACAGCTGTTCTGTTATGTTTAAATTACTGTGAATCCATTCCCTGTCATCTTCATTGATAATCCGTAAATGTTCGGTACTTCGTTGATGGAGTATTTGACAATGTCAAAGCTGGTATTTAATGGCAATAAAAAACATACTGTAGGGCATAAGATTTTCTGATGATGGCTCTGCAAATAATTGTGCAATGATTAAAACTTCCCATCGTGCAGTACATAAACAACCAGTTTTCTCCCAGAACACTGACATTTTTTTTTTCTGAATGTAATTCTAAAATGCAGAATAATAGTGATTCCCCTCTTCTCACTTCAGAATGAATTATTTTTAGAGACCTGTGTTATTGCCCCAATATGAAAGAAGTTATAAATTCAGATTAGACTTGGAACTGTGAAAGCTTGCGTTACAGCAAACAAATTCACTAAGTAATGAGTAGATAGTAGAAGTCTGGAGAAGCCAAGTATTGTGTGAGATGAGCAGGAAGTTGTTACAGTTGCTGCAGTAGTTACAGTGAAGTCACTTGTCATACTGGTGCATAGTGCGTTTGAAATTTTAGACTTGCTGCGTGTAATGATTTTAGCTTTTTTGTTAACATGAAGCTTAAAAACTGTATTCTACTCATGAAGCGAAACAAAAGTAAAGCAAGTAAAGTAGATTATGTCCAAATGAAATGATACCTTCATTGCAAGGGGAAACTGGATATAGGTAGATAAATGGGTTTAAGATTCTTTGTATTAGGAAAGGAATCTTTTAAGCTGTAAATGCAGCAGTTTATTATTTTAACTTCTTAGCATTTTATTTTTAGGTGCGCCAAAGAGTCTGCACATAAGGACTTCAAAAAGGCAGTTGGAGCTTTTTCTGTAATATATGATTCCGAAAACCATCAGCTTATTATTTTAGTAAGTAAGAACATCTAACCATGCCAAATGCAATAGTTTCTTTGAAAATTTCATATATAAAACATTCTTTTATTTATTAATAATTTAGTCAATCAACGATGTAACAACGAAGCGGGCAAATATGCTGATTGATATGCACTTTCGAAGTCTTCGCACTAAGTTATCCCTGATTTTGAGAAATGAAGAAGCTAGCAAACAACTGGAGGTATGGATTTTTATTCTCTGAAGTAATTTTGGATTTAAAAATAATTCTCAAACAGTTGATAGCTGATAGGACTTGAATGGGAGATGAAAATAATTATTTACTGATACAGTAGGTAATAAGTTTATAGTTAGGAGGCTTGTTCTTACAAATACTCATTTGTATACAGTCTCTACAATCTCACACCCAGTCCTTCCCATCTCAGAGGATTTTGTGTTACTAAATAAGAATCAATACATGTGTATGTGTATATGCACGCACTTCATAGTATGAACCATAAAATAATCAGTCATTATTGCACAGATAGTGCCACATTTGATAGGTTTGATTTAATGTTTTTGAAAATTGATGGAGTGTGGCTTGATACTAAGATAGACTAGAGCAGGATATTGCAAAAGAAATGTAGTGGCAGTGGAATCAGGACAGATAACATGGAAGGAGTATAGGGATGCTGCTGTGCAGTGTAGGAGTGGGGTCAGGAAGGCCAACTGGGACTGGGCTTGGCAAGGGGTGCAAAGAAGAATAAGAAAGGCTTCTATGGGTACTTCAGCTGGAAAAAGAAAGCCCGGAAGGGCGTACTCTTCCTAGTGAGCAGCTCAGACAGGCTAGTAACAACAAACGGGGAGTGCTGAGGTATTGAACTTCTTTGCCTCAGTTTTCAGTAGTGACTGCTCTAGCACAGCCCTTGAGTGGATAGCCCAAAGGGTGTGAACAAAGCCAAGTGCAAGGTCTCGCACATGTTATGGCAGCCCCACTGCTAGCACAAGCTGGGGGATATAAGGATAAAGCACAGTCTCACCAAAAAGGACCTGGAGTGCTGGGGGATGGCAGCTGGACGTGGACCAGCACTGTGCCCTTACAGTGCAGAAAACCAATTGGATCCTGGGTGGATCCAAAGCAGCACAGCCAGCAGGGCGAGGGAGGGGATTTGCATCCCTGCTCTGTGCTCTGAGACCTCACCCATCCTGATGGGGCATGCTCAGTACAGGAGAGACGTGGACTGTTGGAGCATGTCCAGAGTGAATCCACAAAAACGACTCCAGGGATGGAATACCTCCCTGCCATGACATGCTAAAGGATCTGGGGCCGTTCAGCCTGGAGAAGAGAAGGCTCCAGGGAAACCTGAGAGCAGCCTGTCAGTATCTAAAGAGAAGCAATAAGAAGGGAGGGGCAGACTCTTGAGCAGGGTCTTATGTGATAGAAGAAGAGGAAATTGTTTCAAACTGAAAGAGGGGAGATTTAGATTGACTATAAGGAAGAAATTTTTTAAAATAAGAGTGGTGGGGCACTGGAAGAGGTTACCCAGAGAGGTGATGGAAGCCCCATCAGGCTCTGAGTACCTGATGTATCTATCTGAGTCTTTTTTAAAAGCAGGGGAGTTGGACTAGATAGCCTTTAAAGGTCTCTTCCAACTCAAAAGATTCTCTGATTCTATGAAAATGAGAGGTGAATCTATAGGAGGGGGTGAGACTGTTGTCAGTATGTACAAAGGGATTGGTTTGTCTCTAGATAAAATTATCTTAGAGCAGATAAAACTTCTGATATTTCTGTAACTGGAGAGTGGGTGTTGACTGGCAAGAAGTTTGACTCATATTTGTCCATTCAACACCCCCGGGGGGGGGGGGCAAAAGGAAGGGGTAGACTAGAAAATTAGAGAATCTTCAGAATTTACCTATCTTTGTATTTTTTTCTCATGTCTACAAATCAAAAAACATAGCAGCATTTTCAAAAACTTCTTGTTGATGAATGTAAAAAGAAGGGTGATAAAACTTTGAACGGTAGGTTTTACATGGATGTATACCAACTCTGTTGTTTTTGAGCCAGATTTCATTATTCCCCACCCTGTTCCCCAGAAAGGATTAGATCTACTGGAGTTTTAGCTTTAAGTGGGAAGTAGTGTGGTAGTTGGAACTTCTTATATCCAGTAGGTGTGCTCACCACTGCTTACAGGAAGTGTTCCTGTTACTCTTGGTAGTCTCTTGATTTCTGTATCTGAGAGCTGTAATCCAAGATAGTTTGGGTCTGAATATTCTCAAGACCCAGAAGGAACCAGTTTCTTCTCACTGATTTTCCTTCTTGAGCACTCCCACTGTCATTTTTCAGTAATCCTTTTTTGTTGTCTTCAAGAACTGACAATCATATGAGGTAAGTTGCTCACGAAATGTGAAGTATTATTTCAGAGGTGAGAAGAACAACAGCCTTTTCAGAGCTCATCCTGATGTGTGCACAGATGTGTGCACCAGAAGCCACTGTTATTAATTCCTGTCCCTAACTAATCTGGGATTCTTGCTTTCATTCAAAGTGTGAACCTTTTTTCTGCCATGAAAAGTTGAAGAATTTTGTTCAACTCTGCTTGGAAAGCCTTTGTTCTACCTGAGACATACTTTAGTGAAGGGTTATTGTGAGATAAATGTATATATGATTATAATTAGTGTGATAGAAGTTGGCTGATCCTTATTGTGTTTCCATTAAGAACTGTAAAGACAATTTTGGCCAAACTCAAAAACTCCAGATAGCAAAAATTGTATTCATTATTTCTGTTGAAAAGCTAATTGGTGTACAAGTATATTGCACGTATCCATGTGCAGAACAAATATTTAGTGAATGCAGGCTTTACTGCAATATTAATAGTTCATTATTTTGATCAAATAAACTCCTTTCTGTGCCATAGACCTTTGAATGTCTGCTACTGTTTTTTCTTCTGTAGCTCAGAGTAGGAAAGGTAAAACTGCTATGATGACTACACCTAGGCTCTCTTTCTTTTCCCTTTCTCTTTGTTGTGTTTTATACCTTCTTTCATTTCTGCATATTAGCTTGTTGCGTGGCTTTCCTTCTTAAACATGACTTTTAGAGAATGAAGTAAAATAACCGAACAAATCAGTTTTTGTTTGCTTCCCTTACCTATTGGGTGTGGCTTAATTATTTTGAGATTTTAAAAAACAAACGTGGAAATCTACTTTAATATTCTGGGTTGTATTTTATTATCTATGAATGCAGTTTGGACATAACCTCTAAGAATTAACATCTGTTTCTCACTAATCTATTCAAGGAGAATAGTTAGATTTTTGCAGTGTTTTGATACAATACATCTTGTAATATATAGTTTCTGGAGAAACTAATGATACTTTAGTAGATGCGATATAAGTGCGTATTAACTATCATAGCTGAAGACACCAGTGATGTAATTTAATCTTTTCTACACACATAGGTAGTTGTGTTAACCACTGATTGATTTTTGTCATCCTATTTTCTGTTTTTTTTCTGTCATCTGTTGGTCTTTAACACATCAGCTAGTAAAACAGCTATTGGATTAACTGTTGGAATGTAGATGTGCAAACATTCAAGATAATACTTGCTGTATTAGTCTCCGTTAAGACAGTTAAAGAAATTTTAGATAGAGATTCCTGAGTATTTCATGATGTTTGGATATTTTCCCAATATTTGTTGTGGCCAATTTTCCCTGACAGTGATGTTTTAATAGTTTTAACCTGACCGGGTGAGGTAACAGAAGCAGTTCAGTTAGGACATTTCCATGATAGATACATATATTTTTTTAACCTCTGTAGAGTTTCATGTTGCAAGAGGTTGAACAGCTGTTATCACCCAAACAATTTTCAAGTGTGGCTTTGTGTCTTCACCACTTCAGTGCACTGCAGGAAAATTATACATATAGAATTATTTCTTGATTCTGGAATGATAATAGAACTTTATTTTTCTTTCAGAACACTGTTTCCATTTTACTGTGATTTGTTTCCATATGCTAGTTAACTTAGTGATTGCCTGGGTTTCATATAACACGGGCATCCTATAAGAAAACTTAATCTGTTTCTTTGAAAAGATGAAGATGATGTAGCAGAAATTTATCAATCATTGTTTTAGTGTTCATAAACAAAATATTTTTATGGGGTTGGTATTTTTTTTTTTTTTTAATGAAATGTCCACCTATCTTTAACAGCTTCCCTATTTGTTTAACAGGTTGTGAAGTTCATGCAGTTCATTTTTTACTTAGCTTTTTTTTTTTTTTTTTTTTTTCCACCTTTAAGATCTGGTCATGCTAGTAACCTGAGGCACTCAGTGTTGACGGGTTGTTCTTAGCAAGACGATGGTATCGAAATCTGTCTTTCCTGCCTATCTGATGTTTTCCATGCCATCCAACTCCACAGCGTGCTGCAAGATAGTTCTCAAAAGTTGTCCTCAGTTCCCATTTCTTCCTGCCTGCTGTGTGATGGATGCTATAATAGTACAATTACAAAAACACTGAAACTGCTTCATGTGTACTTCTATAAGTTGAAGTTTGCTGATGTGGTTTTCTTGGAAGCACAGGACTGCTTAAAAAAATTGTTTATTGTAGTCATTAGTGTTATTTTTAACCTCTTTTTTTTGTGTGTGTGTGTGTGTTTTATCTGTCTTTCTAGCAATGTTTTGTTTTTGTTTCAAAACTATTTTTAATTACTTTTTTCTTGGTGTCTTCTTTCACATAGGAAGCCTTCGTTAAGATGTAAGTCATTCTGTACTGCTTAGTTGTACCATAGCAGTTTAATGAAAAAGTGATAGGAGTTGTGAAGCAATTACCAGGTGTTTAATTTGAGGTCACCTGAGCCTCAAAAACATGATTGAGAGTTCATTTAATAGCTTAGTTACTGCTATCCCCATGCTGAAATAGGACTTTGTCTTGATAGTATGAATCTGAAGTTCTCAGATTAATGGGTAGAATTGTTTCCTGGGTGAGTATTTTAATGCGTTCTCTGAATCTAAGCAATGTATTGGAGTTTCACCTTAATTTTGTTGCCTTCTGTAGACACCAGTTTCTGTTTTTTTTTTTTTTTTTTCTTTTATACACAGAGGATATCTATCTATAGGGTGTTACCTCTGTAGCTTTGGGACTGAATTTTAATTGAGCAACACTAGTTTCGCTCTAACTTGAAATGGTGCAGTTTTCTACACAGATCGTAGGGTTTTCCTTAATCATTATTGTATGGTAGCTGTTAAGTCACCCCTGAAACACCGATTGAGCACCTGGGGAAAGGACCCAGTCAGCTGTGGGAGCACAGGTGTAGGCAGTTCACCTTTGAGACAGGAAGGGATGGAGCCTGGTTCCACCTCTCTTATATGTCATTTAAGGGCTGACTGCCCCTGGGGAAGGATCTCTTCCTGGAGATCCCTTCTTGGTGAAGCTTTGCCCTGTGAACCTAAAATCTTCTGATACAGGTGAGCAATCTTCTTCCCTTCTTTTATAGCACCTCTCTATTGTGCCAGCCCTTTTGTCATCATGTTTTTGTTGTAATAGTTTTCCAATTGCATTGATCTAATTGCTACAACTACAGATATCTGGATTCCTTTCAGAGTTCTAGACAACTTGCATCACGATTTCATGAACAGTTTGTTGTTCGTGAAGACTTAATGGGTTTGGCTATTGGCACTCATGGTGCTAATATTCAGCAAGCCAGAAAAGTCCCTGGAGTGACTGCCATTGATCTTGATGAAGATACCTGCACATTCCATATTTACGGAGAGGTAAGATCCCTTCTTTAACCTTTCAGATAATAATAATTAAAAAAAACAATAAATGCTTTGGGAAAACCCATCTCATTTCTCTTACATACCCTATGTGTTTTAGGATCAAGATGCAGTGAAGAAGGCGAGAAGTTATCTTGAGTTTGCTGAAGATGTCATACAAGTCCCAAGAAATTTAGTAGGTATGTTAGTACTAGAGACTATTGTTAAAGAAAAATGCGTTCTGAGGTTTTTAATTTTAGAACTGAGGCAGAGTAAGAAAAAGTTGGAAAAATTATTTGTGAGCAGTTGTTAGGTGATAAAAAGCCTCGGAGTTTGAGGTGCTTTTCTTGATACTTTTTTTTTGTTGTTGTTGTTGTTGTTGCCCATCCTTCCCTCCCCCCCATTCTGTGTATAATTTTTCAGTCCTTTGTAAGGAATTACCTGCTGGTTTGTAGTTCAGAGATGCCCTTAATACAAAGCAGAATAGTTTCTTGATTGAGCCTAAGAATTGAATGACTTCCTTCAAAGATGCTGTGATTTTTTTTTTTTTTTTTTTTTTTTTTTTTTTTTTTTTTTTCAGCTCTACAACAGAGAAGTACTTCTTGCACTGTCTTGTATTTTTCTGGCGTGCTTTTGTTTGTTAGAAGCAGCACTGTAGGATAAACTGAAGGCCTGGTTAAGGCACTCAGCTCTGGAGTTGTTGTAGAACAGTAGCTTTAGGGTAGGTTCTTCATCCCATTTCCTCTTGTTACCTCTAGGGGGCAAGTGAAATGATAGGCTGCTATTGTTACTTGAAATTTATTTTACTTTGTGTATTTTCTGTTTACAACTTCTGGTTTTGGCAGCATTTTACTTTTAGTCTGCTTCTTGGCCTAGATTCCTTAAAATAAATAATTGGACCAACCATATCTCATATCCAAAATAGTGCTTGTTCACTTACTGATTTCTGGTAATTTGCCAGAAAACAAATGAGTTTGGATTATGAAGTCAAAACCCTTTTACTACATTACTGAAGTCTTTATATTTTCCATAGATAAAGCAAAAACTTGACATCTGTTTTTTCTATTTAATAATCCTTTAAAAAATTTCAAACAGAACTAAAAAAAAAAAGTTTTTGTTGTCTTTTTAAAGGTTTCATAGAAGTCAATAACCTGAAATGTAGGTTACAAAATGGACTGTATGTATGCATACATAATTTTTAATGAATTTCATGTATGCTGCTGAATTCTACTTAATATTTGTTTTTAGGAAATACATTTTTTTATAACTTAATGTTCATTTTTGTGTTTTGGTTTGACTTTTTTTTTTTTAATTTGCCACCAAGGTTTTTTGCTGTTTTGTTTGTTAGGGAACTGTTATACCAAAGAGGTGTAATGGAGTAAGTTACTCAAAAGAAGCTTTTGACTTGTGGTCAAGAAGATCTTAGTAGCTGTTTTTGTCATATTTTCTACAAATATTTAGGGTTTAAAATTTCATGGTTTTAAAACAAAAAAATGAAACAGAAGTGAAAATTTAGTTTAGCTTTGAATAATAAGAACGATGTCCTGTGTGATTAAAAGAAAAGTTTAATTTGCTCTCCAGGGATTGTTTCAGCTGTTATGCACTCAATATTTACTGCCTTCATTTCAGTGATGTCCTGTAAAAAAAGGTCAAGTTGTAGGCTTTTCAGCAGTCATAAGATTCTGTGTTCCTGTTAAATGTGTCATGGAGTATCAAGCTGTTTTGATAAGTTCTTTCACTGTTAACTAAATGATTTTGTTTTACAGAATAATATTTTCAATCCTTAGGGAAGAGCCCTGAGAATTGAATGTTTTGTGTGTCCTTTTTGTAGGGAAAGTAATTGGAAAAAACGGAAAACTGATTCAGGAGATAGTGGACAAATCTGGTGTTGTAAGAGTGAGAATTGAGGCTGAGAATGATAAAAATATTCCACAAGAAGAGGTATGTTTTCATTCAATGTGATTGCTTTGTTATCTGATGGTTGTATTCTGCCCAGTGATAACATAGATTCTTCCTTCTACCTTCATAATGGTAAGGTGAAGTTCTGACTATAATGTGGGTATTTCTTTCTCCTCAGGTCAAAGCATGGCAGAGAAGAGTTGGTCCTTGTAAACTTATTTTTATGTCATATTAGAAAAGAATGTGTACTAGTCTTCCAGGATGCAGAGACAAATGTTGCAGGCTTGCTTTTTGTGAAGAACTGTAGTCTGGTTTTAAATCTGAATACAGCATTGGGTTCTTGTCTCTTAAGACTGAAGTGGATCAGGATCTTACCATGGATTTTGTGTGCGGTTTCATAACTTGCTTAATTTTATATCAGGATTGTCAGATTTAACTTTTTTTAAGTGAAATGTTTGTTATGGTGCTATATTATTTGTCTCTAAATTTTTTATGCCCATAAGTTGCTCAGAATTCACTTCAGAAACTAGGTGGAAGACTCTGGTTTTGCTTTGAAGCTAGAAATAAGGTTTGATAAAGAAGCACTTTGAATTCTTTGTAGGGCTGAAATTGCTTGACATTATTACTAGCTCGAATTGTTATGAGTTGTCGTTTGTACACACAGGCCCCTTGGCTAAAAGTGACAGTGTGCATCTGCTTTTTTCTTAAGTTGTTTTTGAGTCAATAGTCTTTTACTTAAGCTTATACTATGAAGTGGTTAATGCCCATTCTGTTGTTTTTTTATATTTTAAAAAAAACTTAATTATTAAATACTCGCATTACCTGGCGTACTTTAAGTTTTATATTTCAGTTGAACATGCCAGTGGCTAAAGGATTTCTAATCCTTGTTAAATCTAGTGTTAGTATTGAGGCTTCCTAGAATAAAAGAATTGTATGCATTTTTTTCCTTGCAGTATATTTAGTGTAGATGTATAAAATCTAATGGGTCATTTGCCCATTTAAAAAAAAATAGAAATATTATAGTTCTGTCACTGTCATTTCAGGGAGCTTCAGCAAGCTATGAATGTACTTATTGTTTTGCTTTTTAAGAGCATCTTCGGTCACTCTCAGCTGAAGGAGTATGGGGGCAAAAGCAAATCTGTTTCAAATGCAGTTGTTTAACAACTGTATGTATGGTGGAAGTTAAGTACATGCTTAAAGGTTGTGATGAGGTAACCTAGTGATTATTTATTTATTCAATTATAGGTAAGTTCAGTTAGGGTGATCAAGTTCTGTCTGCACTGACATAGGTTTCAGTGTCTTGAGTCTTTAGAAGACTTAGTTTGACTTTTTCAGTTCACAGTAAAGCTTTTACTGCTCTGAGGCTGCCACTGATAGTCTCAAGTAGTTTAAATCTAGCTCGTATTTGTGTGGGCAGTAGTAAAGTTTAGCTGTTTTTAGTGCTCGGGGCCCCGATAGGCAGATTTCTTGGACTAGTTAATCACCTAAGTTGATCTTCAGGTACTTTATCTGAAAAGGTTGTAATTCCAGGCATTACAACTTCAACTCTAGCTCTACTTTCTTCCAGTTACCTAATGAATGACTTAGAATGCTTCAAAGGTAACAGCATATATGTTAGTAATTCTTGCTTGATGTGTTGGTTTGCCTTTTACCAATTGAGAAATCCTTAAGAAAGATAAGTTGGGGCTGTTTGATGGTGTTAATTTTTTAAAAGCTGAAAGTTTTCTTTAATGACCTGCAGCTTAAAAGTAGCTGTGTGAGAGCAAACATGATCAACAAAGGTGATGCTAGTTATGAAAGAAGGGAAGAAATATGGTATGTTTTATTATTTCATTTGATATGGAAAAAAATGTGGATGTTGTCTAAGTTTGGTTTTTTTTTTAAGCAACGTTAGCTTTTAGCATCAGGAGAATCTGGTCTAGATGATCTAGTCAGCATAAAATTTAAATATACTGTTGTCTTATTTTGATTTTATGTTTATCCATATTGTAAAAATTTTTTTCTGGTTTATAAAAACATTAGGTTCTCTTTGATACTTCATGGTTAATCAGTAACCATTGGATTAATGTTACTATGCTGCTGTGTTTTAGGGAATGGTACCATTTGTATTTGTTGGAACCAAGGATAGCATCACTAACGCAACTGTTCTTCTGGATTATCATCTTAATTATTTAAAGGTGAGGATAAAACTGCTTTTCTGCTACTGTAATTTTTCTAATACTTAAGGTAAGAGGAGGATGATAAACAAAATCTGTTCGGGCCCCAAAGGCTTTTGAAAAATTGATATTCTATCCAGTCAATCTAAAAAGGCTTATTGTAAAAGCCACAGTGGTTTTTTGGTCTTGGTTCTTGGTTTGGCTTTTGGCTTGTTTATTTTTTGAAAGAATTGACTATCAAAAGGGTGGAATAAAAATACGTGGTTTTTTAGAATGCACAAGCAATGGAGTAAGAAACAGAAGAAAAATCAATCTCAAATACAAGGAAGAGAGAAATCCCATTTCTTTAAGTATTGAAGGGGCTTGACAGTGTCCTAATTGGAGTAGGTGAGCCTCAAAGATGCCTTCCAACCTCAGTTGTTCTCTGGTGGAGGTGAAACTTTTTTGGGTTTTATAAATAGATTTCTCAATTTAGAAAGAAAAAAGGAGGAAAAAAAAAAAAGGAAAAAAAAAGGAACAAAAAGAAAAAAAACAAATGAGAGAGAATAAAGGTTGCTACCAGCTGTTGATATTAACTAGGCAACTTCTCAGTGTGTAACAGAAGTGCTTTCTAAGCATGTTGCTGTCAATAGCTCCTGTTTGTGTATCTTTTCTAGTTGTTACGTGTGTTCAGAAGTTCCATGTGCCAACTGTCTTTCTGCGTCTGAGTTACAGCACTTTGTGTTCTATGCTTTGATGCTTCTTTATGTCCCTGATACTGTTATAGTTAGCTAGAATTTAACAACAATATAACGTCCAGGCATTTATATGAAACCATGCTATTACATCATTTGTTTACATCAATTGTTTAATTTTCCTGTTTTCTGTATGCAAGAATAGGAAGCTTGTGGTGAAATCTTACCTGAAGTTTACACCATGCTGTTGTTGGGACAGTATGAATGGTTATTACTGTATAAAAAAATAAAAGATGTGAATTTCACTGTATATTTAACATTTTCATAACTATACAACAGATTATTCTCGAAGAATGAAATAGATTATCATCAGAAACACTTCTGGTTTTGTCCTGATAAATGCAGTTGGATCATCACATATGGTTACATCTGACTTTGTTATGCTTGTGTTTCCATAGGAGGTGGACCAGCTACGTTTGGAAAGATTGCAGATTGATGAGCAGCTTCGACAGATCGGAGCTACTTCTAGGCCGCCACCAAATCGTACAGATAAAGAAAAAGGATATATGACTGATGAAGGTCCAGGGCTCGGAAGAGGTAGTCGACCTTACAGAAACAGAGGGCATAGCAGACGTGGTCCAGGCTACGCTTCGGGTAGGTAACTAGAAACGTGCTTACAGTTTTCATAGTAGCCAATTAGATATTGCTTTCTTGAATCCTGTTCTATTAGTAGTTAATTCTTTGGAAACATGAGTGTTCAATGAGAAATTCAATTCATATTAAGTAATGAAATTTGAAGACTGTTTAATGGCTTTTTTGCTGTAGAAAATATGCTGAAATGAAATTTACTGCTAATATTTTCACATAGCTTCTGTCTCTAAGAGCACGTGTATGTATAAACTGTTTAGGGCAGAGATTGTTATTTTATCTGTATTTTAACCAGTTTTTAGTGGTGCCTTGGTTTTCCATTTCCCTCTAAGAGGATATCTTTGTATAAATAAAAATAAAATCAGAAAAGATATTGTATGCAGTTCAATTTACAGGAGTGCTTACCACATATTAAGTTCAATTTGTGTTTTTTTTTTTTTACTAGAAGAGCATAGTCAAGAAAATAAGCTTGTTCTTTTAAACTTTAAGTTATTAATGGATAGTTTTGGGATCTTAACTTCAGAGCTGTTTGTAACCTCAGTATCCAGAATAAAGGCCTGCTGATATTTGTCCTGACTGAAAGGCCTGTATGAGCTTGGTAAGACAATTCAGGAATACATTCAATGTAGCAGAAGACCAGTGTTTTTCTGTAGAAGCCCCTTTATGATTTTTTCAAAAAGATAAAGGCTGACATGGCTAAGAAGTGTTATATGAAAGTAAGATTGGGATAAAGAATGAAACTATCAGCAAAGTGATCTATTAGCTACAAAAATTACAGAGTTGACAGTATTTTCAGTCTGATACATTTCTAGCCTTTTTTTCCCCATTTTAATAAAGGAGTATTGGGTGTGGGCTGAGACAGGACAAGTTAAATTCAGGAATTCAGTCTCTTTTAAACCTGACTAGACTTACTACATTTGCACAACAGACCTAATAATTGATAAGACTATTAAAACCAAGTAACCATGAAAGTGTGGTGCACAACTTAAACTGATGTGTACTTCTGATTTATTGAACGTACCTGTATTGACTTTCTGGAGAAGTACATCTGTGTTAGAGATTGGGAAACAAGAATTCCAAAATTGTTGAAAACTAAAATTTTCAAGTGTATGTATGTTTTTTTTGTTCTGTTGTAATAGTGAGCTACAGTGGCACACTTTGGATTTTTTTTTTTTGTATCCTTTTGATAGGAACTAATTCTGAAGCATCGAATGCTTCTGAAACAGAATCTGATCACAGAGATGAACTTAGTGATTGGTCATTAGCCCAAGCAGAAGAGGAACGAGACAACTACCTTCGCAGAGGAGATGGACGAAGACGTGGAGGTGGTGCAAGAGGGCAAGGAGGGAGGGGTCGTGGAGGATTCAAAGGTAAATCTAGACTTAATTCTGGAGAAGGTCAGTGTTGGTATTCTTAAGCAAAGTTCTCTCAGCCTCTTGTTTCACGTAATGTACTTCAACACCCTAGCCTTCCCAGAAGCCCTCTTTTGAATTCTCTGCACTTTGTCAGTCTCTTTAAACTAAACACTTAGTATGTGTACTGAATGTTGAGCAGAAGGGAAATCCCTTCTTTTGACTTGCTGACTACACGTAGTAACACAAGTCATTATTCAGCTGGCTGTCACTGCTGTGATAGCATGCTTATGTCTATTCGAGTTGTTGTCCAGCAGACTACCGTAGCTCCTCCTCTGGAGCTGCTGTATAGGCAGTCTGTCTACAACAGACACTGTTGGATGGAGTTACTCAGAAGCTGTGGGACTTCAAGTTCCTCTTTAATGTTAATGAGTTTCCAGTCAGCCAATTCCTTCAGCTCACGGAGGTCCTTATAATTGGCAGCCCTAAACTCCAAGTACATAAGCCACTGCCCAGAGTTTGTCATAAGGAGACTTGCTGAGAAGGCATTCTGAGGTCCTTTCATGCATTCTATAACAAGTTTCTTCCCTATATGAGTTAGTTGTGATTGTTTCATATAATTTGCTCTCCTAACACGTGTCTTGACTTATGCTTGTGGGTTATGTCACTACTTACAGAGGTCAAGAAATCAAATTCTGTTTTGGCAGTGTATGTAAAATGTCTTAGAATCTTACACATTCCTATCATTTATATTCCCATCTTCTTGTATTTGGTTTCCATGCAATAGGGTTATATAAATTTGGAATTTACATGTCGAATGGAAAAGGCGAAACAAAAGTAAAATGGGTGAACTCATTGGAGTTAAATTTTCTTTACTGGTGTGATTTTTTTCATTGAATACACTTAAAATAATTATTCTACAACTTTGCATATTTTTTGAAATGCTTTTTCAAATTATGGATATTGCTTGGTTCAACAAGATTTTTTTCCAGAAAAAAAGGAATACAGTATTAGAGAGTCATTACAGAGACTGTGATATGTTAAATTGTACTTAAGTTGATTGTGTCTTTCTGTCCTGTGGCTGATCATGTGGTAAGACATCTTCAGTTGCCTTCAGGTGGTGGTCTTTCTTAAACTCTACTGTTTTAAGTGCTATGGTTTTTGTCTACTGTGATTTACCACCTGAGAAGATCTTCTGTGGTGATTCTTCAGTCATACTTGAAGAACTGTTGCTGTTCTATCGAGGGTATTTTTTAATGTTCTTTAGGATGGAAACTTGGGAGTAATTACCTGTTACTGCATTTTTTTAAATAAAATTCTACATCCTTATTGAGAAACATAGTTAATTCTTTTTGCAGGAAGTGATGAGCAGTCACGAACAGATAACCGTCAGCGTAATTCAAGAGATGCGAAAGGGAGAACAGCAGATGGATCTCTACTGGTAATTTTTATCTTCTTAGAACTACGCAGTGGTTAAAATTTCGTGATCGTTATATACTAACAGTAGATTCTTCAGAACAGCAGCCGACATGGGAGCCTTGTGGTTCCTCATTTTCTAATCGTGTTTACAAGAATAGCCGTGTTCTGTATTTTTTAGCATTCATGCTACCTGATACATCAAGATGCAGCTACCTAATGTGGAGGATGCTTTGGAGGTCTTTGTTTTGCTATCAGTCTCTGAAAGTACTAAGTGGCATTGTTTGATTTTTATTTTTATTTTTTTTTTTCAGCTCAAACTGACCACGAATTGACTGATAGTTTAGAGCTTATTTCCTGAGCTTAGTTTTCCCTTGGATTAAAACTCTGCTTCTGAGCCCTGAGGTTTTACTAGGCAGCTTTATTGTATCTTTATAATTATTAGCCTATAATTCTTTTTTTCTTTTGAGATGTTGTCTACTCTTGTTTTTATCTTTTCAACACAAGCAGTGTAACTGAGGAAAAAGAATGCTTAAGCAGAAAGGTATGTGTATTGCAGCCATAATCTCCAGAGAAATTAAGTATGCAAATGAAGAAACAGTTCAAGTCACATACTGGAAGTACTTATATTTTTATAAGGATACTGGTACAGTTTTTCAAGTGCATTTCACTGGGCAAAGTTAGGTATATACTTGAAGTTTCCCTAAACGGAAACTGTTCTCGCTTTGTGTGCAATGTGCAGACCTTCAACCATCTCTTACTGCATAGGATGAGTTACACTGGGAGGAGAAAATGAGTAGTTGCCACCTTTTGCATGGTGTTACAGGGAGTTCTGATGAGATTCAGATGAATCTTTTTGGCTAATCAGCAATTGACTTTATTGTTAATAAGCTGTTACCTACTTTAAGTAGGTAAAGGAGGACGAAGTAAATGAAGGCAAATGTTGATACTGGGGAAAAAGAAAGAAAGAAAATCATCAGTCATAATTTTTTTTTCTGTTGCTCTGAGATTTAGAGGTAATTTGTTTTAAGTTAGTACTGAAATATGCTTGAAACCTGACAAATCAAATCATAAAACCTTCTTGTAGTATTTTAAGTAATAAGCTAGAAGTAGCACTAAGGGATTACCTCCTACAAGTTAGAAACATTTAATGCTTATTTGAGTGTTCATAAAATGTGGCTATTTATAACAGTCATGTCAGTCTTGTTGGTGGATTCAGTGACTTTTTTTTCAGGCTCAAAAGGTGCATGGGTAGGTGACTTTTTATTGTTGATACCATTTCATGATTTTTCTAGAACTCTTTTTTTCAAAATGCTTCTATACAACTCAAACCTTGAATTTTTAAAAATGAAATGATGTTTCAGAGTTACATGTACTGAAAGTTCTTCAACTTCTTGCACGTACACTTTTTCTTCCAGTCTCGGGAGGGTGTGAGTGCAGGGAATGCCTTTCAAAGGCTAGGTAGTCTAGAGTGTGAGGTGGCTTTTTTGTGTGTGTGTTTCAAGGAACATGGCTTTTTCAAACAAACATAATCATGTGGTGCCTGTTTTCAGCTAGTTGTATTTAACAAAGCCTTAAGGATCTGGCACTACTTTTCTGACTTTAATAAAAAGCTCTCCTTCCTGGCTGCAAAGGTTGCAAGTACGTAAGGGGTAGACAAAAGGAGGAGAATGCTTTATATAACTCTGACTTGTTCCAGATCAGAATTGACTGCAATAATGAAAGGAGTGTTCACACTAAAACATTACAGAATACCTCCAGTGAAGGCAGCCGGCTGCGCACAGGTAAAGAACGTAATCAGAAGAAAGAGAAAGCGGACAACGCAGATGGCCAACAGCCGCTGGTGAACGGAGTACCCTAAACTGCATAAGTCTGAAGTCATATTTCCTATACTGTTCAGTAATTCCTATTCCACGTTAGAGAAACTTGTTAGGCCAAAGACAAATAGTAGGCAAGATGGCGCAGGGCATGAAATGAACATGTGTTCTCTGTTAGCCTTTTTTTAACATCAACAGTATGCAGTTGTTTTCAGAATAAAAAGTTATTAAAATATTTGCATAAAAAATACCTGAATTTCCGAAAATCGCTTTCAAGTACATATTGCACTTCAAACAATTAAAGAACCTTTTTTGTTTGTTTTAAAAATACTGAGCTGTGCATTGGTAAACTTTCTGTTCAGTTGTACCATTTTAACGCACTGGGTCAAAATCACTGCTCAATTTCAATTCTCAGAATAAATAGTGTTTGCAGTAATCAAATTGGCTTCTGTTTTCAATCTAACTTACAAGTTCTTCATGAAATGCTATGTCGTTTTATGTCCTGTGTCACGTTCTGGTCCACCTTTTTCAGTATTTTAGTGGACCCTGAAATATGTGTGATGTAACAGTTGTCATTTTCATTAGCAAAAAAAGTTGTATGATCTGTGCCTTTTTTATATCTTGGCAGGTAGGAATACTATATTTGGATGCAGAATTCAGGGAAGATGAGTTGGTAACACTAAATGTAAAATATATGTAGCAATCTTTGTCAGATGTTAGTACTTTATAGACAAGTGCATGCTTTCCATAATTTTTTCCTTACATAAACATTGGGTTAGGCAGTTATAAGAATAGGAAATTTATTTTGCACTGAAGATTTGGCGAATAGTGTTACTGAAAAAGGGGTTGTAACTTTTTCTTTGTAGGCAGTATAGATTTTTAAAAAAAAAAAAACTAAAAAAAAACTTTACGTTGTGGAGAACTTAAAGGAAAAAAAAATGAGAAAAAGAAGCAACAACAAAAAAATACAACTCATTGTTACTGAGGGAACAAAAGTAATTTGTTCACATCTAGTAATGTGTGCCTGCTGTTTGGCCAGATGACCAGTTTAAAGCGCTAATGTTTTTCATCCTCCCAAAAAGTTCTGCATTGTTATTTTAATTTGGGGACTATCTCAGGAGAGGTAGAAAGAAAATCACCGTCCTGAAAAGTCCTGGTGTAGTAACTGGAGATGCTGTGGTTGGAACAAATCCATCATACTTTGAGGTACAAGGTCTGAATTACCAGCCCATTGGAATGAGATGCAGAATTTGATCCAAAGTATAGTGGTACACTAGGGAAGGGTGGGAAGTAGTGGGAGGAGCTGTGCTTTCTTTTATTTTTCATCACACGTTATGCTTAATGGGCACAGCTATGTAAGTACCTCCGTTTTAATCCATTTTTTTAATTCTAATTACTCCAGAATGAGAGCCACTCATTATGTACAGAATTGTACAAACTTGACCTTGCCTCTGATGTATTTTGTGAGTTTTGTTTCTCTGCTTCCTACATTCACTGTTTTCCTTGCATACAGGTGAGAATACTAAAAATGGCAACAAACTGCACATGATTTAACAAATATAAAAATGTCTTAAAAAGTATTGCCAAACATTAATGTTGATTTCTAGTTATTTATTTTGGGAATGTATAGTATTTGAAAACAGAAATTGGTACCTTGCACACATCATCTGTAAGCTGTTTGGTTTAAAATACTGTAGATAATTAACCGAGGTAGACTGACCTTGTAATGTAACTGCTCTTGGGCAATATTCTCTGTACATATTAGCTACAACAGATTGGATTTTATGTTGACATTTGTTTGGTTATAGTGCAATATATTTTGTATGCAAGCAGTTTCAATAAAGTTTGATCTTCCTCTGCTAACTGATGTTGATGCAATCCTTATAAATGATTGCTTTAAAAAAATCTCAAGGCAAGTAGAGAATATATTTCTGTTTAGACCTTAGCTGTAGCCTTTGATACTTCCACATTCTAGAAGAATTCTGAAGTATTACCAGTTTTCAAAAATATGGCACGTAATGCTCAAGAAAACTTTCTCATTATGAAATGGTACAACATCTGTTGATTTGTCACACTATGTGCACCATATCTATTAAAATTAGTGGTGAGTTTACTAAGGTGTTAACTAGGTTAAATGTGAGGTTAAAATACATTTCTGACTAATTAGTCACGTTCCATTTTCAAGTGCATTTTGGAATTATGACCTTTCAGTATTTGTGTACTTAACATGTATCCCTTTCAATTCAAATTCTAGTGTTTTTAAATGTTATTAAATTTCAACAAATTAAACTGTGAATCTAAATGTTTAGTTTTATTTTGAAAAATCATGTGATTGTTTAAAAAAAAAAAAAAAAAAAAAAACAACTTGAAAGTACAACAAATGTATGATCCTTGAGTGCAGGTCTGTCCTATTGGTAACTTATAAAGTATGATCGAAGGAATTAAAATTATTTTGAAAATAAAGTTCTTTAAACAGAGTGGGGGTATTTGTGAATGATGGCAGTTTAAATTCAATAGGGTTAACCTCAAAGCCTTATAAATGAACAAATGTTAATGAAAGTAGAAAGTCTGTGTTTACTTTCTGTATTGAATGCGTTTTTGCTAATATTGTTGGGTAGTCAAGATTCTCAGAATTTGCTTAAAATACTGTCAGGAATCAATTTTCTCAGGAAAAGACCCTTTCTGTCTTGATGGTAGACCTACTCGATGAGTATTTGTGAGTTCAAGAAGCAAATCAATGAACCTGAGTATGGAAACTTTTTAGATGACCTATTTGTGGGTTGGCTTTTTTACCGTTTTGTGTCACTAAAATATAATGTTCTTTGCTTGTCCATTTCAGCAGGCCAAAAACAAGTAAAGTGCTGCAGGTAAGTTGAGTGAGTAGACTCTGTTCTTTGTAGGAACACTTACTGTGAAAGGTAACTTATTTTTCTGAGCTGCAGCATATCTTCTTCAAAACTCATGCATCGAATATTAAAGGGGAATAGATTGAGTAGTTGGCAGTGTACTCGCAGTGTATTCCACAGTTGCTTCAGGAGCCCTGATGTGTGGTTGTGGTAAGTGGTGTTCTGTATTAAACAACAAAAGGAAAGGTGAGTCTCAGGGTTTCTTAACTATGTGTATTGTTGAAGACTTTCTTGAAGCAGTAGCAGCTGTAATAGTAGAACTGAGTGTTTTGATGCTGATAATGTTATTTAATGTAGTTTTTTCAGTTGCATGATGAGTTTACCATCAACTTGAACATAACAGTTACATTTTCATCTTAAAAAAATGCTAGTCAGAAGCTTCTCCAGCTGTGTTCGCATCCATTAAATCACAGTGGCTAGAAGAAATGTAATATCTGAATGTATAGGGCGTCTTTATGTATGCTATGAAAATTGATGCTAGTTCTTCAGAGTTAAGTGTTCTGAACGGAATCTGGTTTAGTCTACAGGGTTGTGCTGTCATGAGTTTCACTGAAGTCAAGTCAGTTTCACGTTATGTTTTCATACTTACTTACAGTAGAAGGGCTTGTCTTCACTGCAGTAGCTCTCCACTCTCTGGAAGTATGAGTTTTTCACGGCAGCCTGGGGATCTTATGCCCACAACAAGTAATGAATATTTCTATTCCTAACAGTCATTCTCAGCTGTACCTCATGTTTGCCACTTCTGCTTGCATGATACATGGATCACTGATCTTGAGCAATTCCTGATGGAGATAAATAACACTAAATTGAGTATGGACTGGTTACTACTGTGTTGGGTTTTTTTATTATTTGAAGCCTGTTTTAAAGAAATGTTTAAAGTAATTTCTAAGTGCCCTATGAAACTGAATCATAAGAAAAAAAAAAAAGCAACAATTACAGATGAATTTTTTAAGTTTCTAGTGGAGGTTCAATAAGACAAGATTCTTTCTCATGTTTTTGCTCTGAATAAAAGAAACCGATTTCCAATAAATGCAGGTAATTTAAACAAAACTAGCATCTCGTAGGTGTAGTCTCTAAATGATGAGGAACTATTGTAGAAGTGCTAATAGTGAAAATTTGTTTGAGGTCATATTGGGGGGTATTTTTTGCTGATGGATTTAGTCTATACTCAAGGCTCAAGTTAGATTTAATAAAATCAATTGTCTGTTTTGAGGAGTGTATTTTAATGGCATGAGGTATCCTTTACCTGGTCTGCATATGTGTCTATTAGATGGTATCCCTGTATTGTATGTTAGTGGCACAAATGTAATCTTAACTTAGTGAGTTAAAAGACTGAGTCTTCTAGCAGTCTGCTCCTTGGGAGGCTGACTTTTTCAAACCACATATGCAGCTTCTTTTTCTGGTCTGTCAAACATTAGCTTCAGTTCCACATCTACACTGTTCTGAGCTACATCATAAGGAACATGTAGTCCATTGTGACGAGGAGGTTTGATTCTGTGTGGAGTTGCAGAGGATAGCCGTGATCTTACTGATCCAATTGTAGAAGAAAGCATAAGGAAAGTATGTTGGGGAGAAACTATAATGGGTGTCCTGAGAATTAGATTCCTATTCTCTTTAAAAAAAAAAAAAAAAAAAAAAAAAAAAAAAAGCTGCCAGATGTAAAGTTTCTCCCTGGGACAACAAATGTATGTTACTGTACAGGTTAGGTATGTTCAAAGTGCGAGGAAGTGTTCCTCATTTAGCAGCAGCAGCTCAGACAGCAGGCCCTTCAAAGGACAATACCTGCGTAAAACACAACTGTTCTGTTCTCTGTACAGCACTTAAGAAAATAGGGTTCTGTTCCCTTACCAATGCTAACCAAATCCCTGGTTTAAGCTGTCTTAATACATGGTATAGTGATTGAAAAAGATCTTTTAGTGTTTCAGAACAGGAGCAGCAGGCAGTGAAACATAGCATCTGGTGCAGCAATCTTCTGGGGGTGGTTGGAGGTGTAAAACCCAACTTGAGTTAAATTGATACAAATGACTTCAGGATTTTAAAATATTTTTATCCATTATATCTCTCTTTTTTTTGTCACCTTTTTTAAAATGTTTTTATTTAAAGCATTTCATATTCTCTGATGTTGGGAAAACTGAAGAACTCTGTAAGCTAAACTAGAATTCTGTTGTAAGCTTCCGACAATTTTGAATTCTTCAGTGCTCGTTCTGTTCACTAAGTACAAATTAGAATACTTGGCTACAAGTGATCTTTCAAGGTGTTATTATCTAGCTCTGAGATACTTTGAAGAGATGTATTTCCCTGTCCCCCCCACAGTCCCGATTTAACAAGCTGCCTCCCTGTAAGCTCAAAAATGAGTAATTTATTCAGAATCACTTCTTATCACCAAATGTTTTGTTGAATTTAGCCTCCTTATTTGGGAGGAGGGTAGCAGACATTCTGCTCCGTGCAGCAATCTGTCATGTTTGTTGTAGTGCATAAGTGCAAAGCTAAAAGATCAGAAGTTTCTGTGTGTAACCACATGCCTTATTGCGTTTGGTTTATTACAGTAATGCTGCAAGAAGGAATTGGCACTCATCTGGCATGGAACTATGTCATATTGATACTGCTTCATAGCATCAGTTCATGTGAGTTTTCACGGTGAAAAGTGACTTCATAGAAGCAAGTAACATGCCTATAAAGCTACAGTCTTGTTGTCTTGGCATCGATTGGAAAATACTGAAGAGCGTGACAAAGTTAGGCACTCAGATGGGATTGATCAGAGTCCTGTCACTTGAATACAGCAAATGTTTTTTCAAGAACTGTAGTTCCCACTGATGTTTGTGCCTGTGAGAAATGTGCTGCTTGTTGCATCCTGGGTAATACACCTGTCTTGCTTTAATTTGTTTGTTGATTTTTTTTTTCCCACTTACACTACATTTTACATGATACAGTTGTTGTTCCTAAAACCTGTTGGGATCTGATATTTGCTTACTGCAGCAGGTGGCTCAAAATAGTTAATGATTATTTTTGTTAAGCTGTTAACTTGCATTCAAATGAAGTTAAATGTCATCTGAAATGCACTTAAAGTATCAGCCCACACATTAAGCTTGCTGTTAATCCTTCATGCTTTGAGAATCCACATCTGAGGCATCTTCTTGTTGAAGAGCTATCAATTTGCTGCAAAACTCATTGTAAAATGCTTTTGCAGTACCTAGATCAGTAAGTCATTCTGTTCGCAAATAAGCAAAAACATCTTTAATAGGTATGCATGTATGAAATCTAATATAGATACAAATGTGATTGGCAGTGTCTATTACATGGTTTGTCTCTTTAAGCCAAGTTTGATATGGTTTAATAAGGTGAGGGAGTAGTAAGAAAGACAATTGTGGTCATCTTTTCAGGTGTTACTTATCAAACTGATTGCCAGATACATCATTGCATGAACTTCCTAGGAAGTTATTACAAAACTTATTTCAAACTTTGTTTGAAACCTGAATTCCTTTAAAATTTCTAACTTGATCATCAAGGCTGGTGGAGAAACAGTGATGTATCTGCTAATGTGAAGTTTGTTGGTCAGTTTCCTGTTAAACATTCATCTCAGTCCCTTTTTTTGATGTGAATTCAATTATGCCTATGATGCTTCTTTTTCCTAAGACTGTCACATGGCACTGAAAAAGTAAATTGTGCCCCAAGACAAATAGAGCATTTATGTACTTGGAACTAACGGTGTTCCTTGCTTGAGAATAACTCCAAAAAACAAGCAAACAAAAAACCCTTAAGTTATTTGAATACATTAGGTTTTGGTTAGGCACTGTAGAACTGTGAAATGCCTTTCAATAAATTGTCACTGAAAGCTCTTACAGTTCTGATTATGTAAGTTTTTCCGGGGGGGGGGAAGGCAAATAGTAATTCTGAGTTCTTCCACACTGTAAAATAGTTGACTTCTAGCGGAGTCCCCCTGTGACTTTTACTTCTGCTTTGATAAAAAAAAAGGTAGAGTGAGACAACAAGGCTTACTGATTATACTTTCCTCAAAGCAGTATAGTTGTAAGGTGATTGAGAAGTCTTGAAATCTTTCGATGATGAGCTGGGAACCAGAGGTAACAGGAGAAGGCAGCAGGGAACTAGGTGAAAATACTTAAAAGTAATTAAGGAGTTCTCCTCTAAGAAGGTGGCAGGACCAGCTTCCCAGTTGAAGTGCTCTACAGCAATACATGCAGCTTGGGAAACAAAGAGAAAGCCACCATACTACCAAAAAAACATGGCATAGTTGCTGCCCTGAATCCTGGTAGGGTGATTCCCATGACTGTGGTGTGATTATCAATATCTACAAGCTGTTCAGAAGAGACAGGGAAGGAAGGGGGAGGGAGGCATTGCCCCCTACATCAAGGAGAGAATGGAGTGTGAAGAGTTGTCCTTGAAGAATGGCCATGAGCAAGTCAACAAGCCTATGGGTGTGAATTAGAGACTTAGGCAACAAAGGGAGCTTTGTGGTTGGGGTCTGCTTCAGGCCACCTCTTGCACCAGAGCCTGTGGAAGCCTTACACCTCCAGCTACAGGAGTTGTTGCAATCACAGGCTCTTGTCCTGGGAGGGCTTCAACTACAGTTGATGATGTGGATGGAAAACACTTGTAGGAGAAAAGCTAGATTATTTTTATTGATTATAATATGGATACAGTATAGTGATTTAATGAAGCATAGTTGTAACCAAGGCAGCAACTTCACAAGATTTGAGATGGTTGTATGCACTTGGTTATTTACTGCAGAGAGAGTAGGGTTAAAAATGCACATACAGGAAGCCCTCTCACTGAGTCAGGAGGCTCAGAGTTGATCCCCTTCTTTTCTGAACTCCTTGAACCGCAGAGATAAAGAGCCACAGTGCAGCTGAATCCCCTCCCAGTCCCGACTTGGTCAGCAGTTTGTGTTGGGCTTGTATGCGTACAAGCAATCTAAGATGCAATCTTTGTGAGGCTAACAAAGCTTACAGTCAATCAAAGATGTAATCTTCGTGAGGCTAACGCAGTCTTAAACAATTGGTCACTTACCAAAGATCTGTATCCTTAAGGTGTCTTGATGTCAGGGTGTAAGGGATCTCTGCGTAAGGTGACCTCAAGAGGTGTCCGTGCTCCAGCAGCCCACAGCCATGCAGGGGAGCTCAAAGGGGCTCTTGTACTTCTCTCTGTTTATGGGGTAAGATGTTTGACTCATAGGTTGCTTTTTAGGCATGTGCTCAATTGGTCCTCAGCTGTTGTACCAGGGGTCTGCTATCAGTTCTTTCAGTCTCTGGTTTGAGACAGGATGATGGTTGTTGGTCTGTTTCAGCAAGAGTATTACGACTACTGCTGTTCATTTTCTTCCTGTACAGGGTCTTGTGAGCAAAATCAGGTTGAAGAATGGAACTGAGGGACAAAGACGGGCAGGGAAGTGGTGAGCAGAAGGAGCCCACTGTCACAGTGATGGAGTTCATGCTCCTGAGGGATATGAGACAGACAAAATCAGGACACTACACTTTAGGAATGCCAGTTGCTTGCTCTTCGGGGGGTGAGTCAACAGAGCTCCCTGGGCATCTGTCACCAAAGACAAGGGAGCAGAACATAAGTGGTGGATCTCTAAGGAAGTTTTCCTTACAAGAGCTCTCCTTCTCTGTAAGAATTCTGGAAAGGCAAGAGACCAGCACAGCTAAACTGGGACTGGTTGGTCAGACTGAAGAGAAAGATTTTTCTCAGGTAGTGGAAGAAGGGACAGGTACCCTGGAAAGAGTGTAGGGTTCTATGGGTCCTGGTGAGATGCATCCTACAGTCTTGAGAGAATTGGCTGACAAAGTCGCAAAGCCATTCGCTATGATATTTCAGAAGTCATGACAGTCCTGAGGAGGCCTTGGTTACTGGAAAAAAGACAATGTCATATCCTTTTTTAAGAAGAGTAGAAAGGATGATCTGAGAACTACCAACCTGTCAGCATCACCCCAGTGCTGGGGAAGTTCACGGAGCAGATCCTCCTGGAAGCTATACTGAGGCACGTGGGGATGTCTTCATGGAGGGCAGGTCCTGCCTGACCAACCTTTTCGCTTCTGCAATGGTGTAACTGTGTCAGCAGGTAAGGGAACAGCCACTGATGTCATCTATCTGGACTTCAGTAAGGCCTTTGACAGTCCCCCACATCCTTCTCTCCAAATCAGAAAGATAGGGATCAAACAGGTGGATTGTTTGATGGGTGAGGAACTATTTATGAGATCCTACCTAGAGGGTGCTGGTCAGTGGTTCAATATCCAGATGAAGACCAGTGAAGTGGTATCCCTAAAGAGTCAGTGTTGGAACCAGTGCTCTTTAATGTCTTCATCAGTGACGTTGATGGTGAGATCAAGCGCACCCTCGGTGCGGTGAAAGAAGAAGGGGAAATTGTTTCCAACTAAAAGGGGAAATTTAGATTGGGTATAAGCAGAAGTTCTGCTTGCATGTATACAACTGTAGTATAGAATTTTCATGTAACCTGCACACTTTATGTGAACAGTAGTGATTTTTTTCTTTTCAATTTCCACGTGAGTTGACTCCTTTATTTAAATTTCATAGTTTTAATTCTTTACTCATTGTGGTTCATGAAGCAGTTTGACGATATAATTGAATGCAATGGAAAGACATCTGTGCTTAACCTCAGTAGCCATGAGCAGTCACAATTCATAATGACTATAAACGCCTTCATAATGAAAAATAATCAGTATGAAAATGTCATTCAATTTAATTAATTACAGATATTTTGATGGTAATGAGCTAATCATTATGAGCTTTCAGGTTTTACATCACCAACTCTTCATGCTTTGGAAAAAAATGAAGTGACAGCCAGCAAACTTATCACGAAACTGAAAGATGCATCTGAAGCTCTTTTAAACTTCTTCAGGCCAGTGAGTAAGTGCCATTTCATCACTGCAGCGCTATTTCTTTCCTCTTCTTCCACCTTACTTTTAGTACAGTTTTTCACTCCTTAACTGTTGGCACTCAGTCTATTTAAAACCCCTCAGTCTGATACTGTAAAATTCACTAGTTCTTATCAAAAATATACTGTTAAATGTGCTGTTTGAACCATCACAAATTTGCTTCAATTGCATTACTTCTGTCTTATAAAACTATCTGTCATCAACGAGCTGACCTAGAAGTGCTGGACAATTTGATGTAGAATTCACCTTCCCATATTTTCTTGCATCCGTTTTGAGTTAGTTTTGTAGTCTGCTTGTGTAAGCATATTTTGCTCAGTAGTAGTCACTCCCATTTCTACTAGCTAAGGAAGGATTCAGGGCCATTAGATAAGACTCTTGAACTGCTGAAATTAATTGATGAGGTGTGCGTTAGTTTCAGAAAACTATTGAGAAAGAAATCAAAATAGAATGTATTTGCTAATAGCAGTAAGAAAGATAAAATCCATGAAATGTGGAGAAAGTGCACAGCATGTACAAAATTGGCAAGCCTGGTTCCAGAATGGTTTCATTGACAAATGCAAGGCAAATATCACTCATCACTGAATACATAACTGCTTAGTAATAACAATGAAGGTCTTGGTGATTTTCTGCCTAGCTCTAAATAAACACTGCGGTCTTGTGAAGTGCCTGACCTCACGTTTAATATAACTGAATTTGACTATCAGTAATGAATGCGATAAAGGTGAAGCTGGCAGTGCAGCCTATCTTGGGAGTAGTAGAACCAAATGATGTTTTGCAGCTTCTGTGGAAGTTTCACGTGAAGGATACTAAGTTTTATAGGAATTAAATCACAGACTGTATGTCAGATCTCTACAGTTTATAAGCCATTTATACGTAACAACGCTTCCCAGGGAAGATCTTATGATTATCCATAAATCTATTTTTAAATAGCAAATTTTAAACTTTACATGTTGTGTTCATTAACTGACTGGGTATCTTAGGTCTTCGCTCATATCAGCTGCTTGTAGAATCATGCAATTAGTGCTGAATGGAGAGATGGTTTGTTGCAATACACTGTATAATCAACCCTTCAAAAATCTAAGACATTTTAATGTTTCTATTTGTTTGATTGGTTTTTTCTTAATTAGAAACAGTGCAGTCAGGAAACTTAGTGTCTTTCAGCTTTAGAAACATGAATAACAAATGTTTTTTAATTCAGTTTTTTAAATGTTTCTTACAGAAAAAAAAGCCAATTATTTAAGATCTCGTATGACATGATTGTAGGTTTTCTCTTGACTTTAAAATAAAGACTGATTAGTTTTTGTGGAAGAATTCTACATGAAAGTCAATGACACTGCTTCTAAACAGACTTCTTCAAAACATGCTAGAAGCATGAAAATAATAGCCTCTCTTTATCTAGGTATTGCTTCTAGAACAGAAATCTTACATTTCACTACTTTTTTTTAAAGCTTGCCGATACAAAGAAAAGCACTCCTTAGTCCCTTGTCATGTAGGAGGGAATATTAATGCAACAGAGTGCTTGGAAAACAGATGTTGTCCTTCCAAAGGCAGACATGAACTGGAATGTTATATCCCGTTTAAAGACAGTAAGTATTCTTCTGTAAATTTTTGCTTCATAGTCAAGTACTTTTCCTGGTACGACAATGTGATTTTTCATTTCTTTTCTCTCCTTTGGTTTCTTGGGTCACCATTCTCTTTGAAGCAAGCTTAAGTGGGCATTTATTTCTGCATAGAAATACAGAAAACAATTCATTGTCTGGGTAGCTTGTAAACCTCAGCACAAAGAACATGTGATGAAATACAAATAGAAGTAGCTACGTCAGCTAGTACAAAGAATAGAGGGAAGGCTTTCTTTGTGGAAATGGAAGGGTGGTGAGTTTAATACAAAGAAGTGAATCTGTGAAAGTGCTATAAAGAAAAGTTGAAGAAATTGGGTGTATTTGTTGAGAAGGAGGTTAAATGGTTATTAAATAGCCATAGAAATCGGTTTGAAGGGTGGTTATTAAGACAAGGAAGCCAAACTGTTTGGTAGGACCAGATGATATGACAGGAAATTGCAACTCGTTGAGGCTTGAGAAATTCAGCTTGGATATTAGGAAATAAAACTTCATTAGAACAGTAGTGAACCTCTTGAACAAGTGTCACAGAGTTATCTCTAGATCTGTCTGCGTCTGATGGGGGACAGCAGGCCCACTGGCCCGAAAAGGGGGGGGTGTCAACAATTTACAGGCTGGTTCTGTGAGTAATGGGGCAGGGGACCCACAGACCCAGGCCCCGGGAAGAGGGAGAGGGTAGGGAGATGGGAGATGGCCCTAAAAACAGAACAGCAGCAACCATCAGAGGAGGAAAGTTAATTTACTGTGTATGATATCAGAATGCAAGATTGCATAATGTAGTACAATATATAACTAGAATTGAGGCTATTAAATGAAATAGATTGAGAGTGTCCAAAACTGAAGACCTCACTCTGAACTGAAGGCAAAACAGCTGGGAAGCACACCTACACAGTGCCAGGCAGTGAGAAAGAGAGAGAGTCTCATGACTTGTCAGGAGCTTTATCTTTCTTTCTGAACTCAAAGTCCTCTGGGGTATGTAGTTCTTCTCTACAGATATTCAGAAAATCAGCGGTCCACAGAAGTGGGGCATTAACTCTTCAGCTCCCCATGCTTTACGTGATGCTATGATGTGGAATACCGACAACAAAAACCATAGAACCAAGACAAGAAGTCATGAGAAAGGAGGTGGCATCACCTTTATTGAGAGTTTTATGACATGGTCACACAAAGACACAGGTTACTTCACCTAATGGCAATAGTAATACTGCTTCAGGCAGAAGACTGGGCTTCAGGGTGTGCAGAAATTCCTTACAACGAAAACTTTTGATAATTGTCTTCTCAAATTCTACCTTTAACATAACGAATGTAATGTTTTACCTTTATTATTTTCTTTAAGCATAGACTTGAAGTGGATGATATTTTTTTCCTCTTATGAGAGAATTCAGCAATCTTGTTTTATATCCCATGGTTGCACAGCACTGTATGGTAAACGCAGCTTCACTAAAAGCGTTGAAACAAATCTTAATTTTTATCTTTTTGTTTCCCTTTTTTTATATAGCATTTAGAAAATGGTGTTGCTTTTTGTTGCGAATTTCCTTCAACAAACTGAAAGATGTACAAAGTTGAAGGCTCTTCTTAGACTCCGTCAGTAAGTTTGGAACAGATCCACCGAGGTCATGTAATCCCATCACTCTCTGCTCAAGTGGGGTCAGCTAGAGGAGCGGGTTTCCTAGGACTCTGTCTAGTCAAGTTTTGAATACATGTCCAAGGATAGAGACAGCACAACCCCTTTGGGCAAACCATTCCAGTCTGTAGCATTAGAATGCAATTACCTGTTAAGAACAATGTCAAATGTTGGAATGGTATTTGAAGACTTGTCATAGACTTGAATAGAAACAGAGCCAAGTGTTACCTTGATTTTTCCAACGTAGTATTTCCTTTTATATTGTATTTTTATGCACTGACAATTTAACTGGAAGACTTCTCAGACAGAGGCAATCTTGCCAGATAAGTTAGTATGTTAGTACAAGTTTACTAAAAAGGAAACCAGAACGTAGAGATTAATGGCTTAGGTATTCTTGATAGAATTTGTCATGCATTGATTTCAGAGATTATATTCAGTTTTCTGGAGCTGACTTAATATGCTTATGAAACCTGAGAAAATATCTGTAAGCTAACAAGAAGTTTGATGTACTTGCTCAAAAGCAAACAGGTGTCAGAACCAAACTTGGAATATTTTCCTGTAGTTGAGCAACACCATGTTCCAGTGCTATGGCAGCCATAAATATGATGCTACTTTTGATAGGAAAAAAAAAAAAAAAGGTACCATTGAACGCAAGGTCACCAGACTCTTAGGTGCACACTGCAGAAATCAAGTGTCTTAAGAATATTGTTCCCTAGTTGTGCTTCCTTAATACACATGAAGGCACACGACTCCAGTGAGAAGAAAAGCTATATAGTGAAAACTCTAGTTGTTTTGCTCATGTTTAGGACATATACTTAATAAGTATATCTAATTTTAATATGTTCTTAAACCCTGACTGCTTGATTCCTTTTATGGTTTGGAAGTAAATTTCAAAGATGGACTATTTTATCAAATTATTTGTAGCTAGCTACTTGAATGTTCCAGGATATACAACATATGTCCAAAGAAAACATCAGCGCTTACTGCCTGGGAGCACATGCTGTTTGCCTTGTAGCAATTGTTGACAGAAGAAGCACTTAACAGACATTAGACTCATGCCACTTGCGTTTCTGTTTTATGGGCATAGGCTGCACACTTGAATGCTTCTCATCTGGGAGTTTTGTCTTTAACTTCAGTAGGAATAAAATAAAGCTTAAAGAAGACGCTGCAAAAGTTTTGATCTGAAGTAGATAAATAGCATTAGTTATCATGATTTTGCTCTATAGGACTGTATATACATCTATGTAAGACTCGTTTGATAAAGGACTACAATTTTTCACATGTTGAGATTACTCATGTGATTATTTCTGAAACTAACCAAACGTTTGGGAGTGTTTGAAATCCAGTGGTCAAATTTGACTTGATCTTTCTAATCTGCATGCTTTTTTAGGATTTGCCCCTTTCCTGTTGTGTTGATGATTGAAATACAGGCATGTCTGTCTTCGAGGCTAATCTCTGTCACCTGTACCTCAACATATGTTTTGGACTTGTTTGTAACTAATACAAACTTCCACTGGTCCTACAGGTCTGCAACTGACATTTCGACTGTTTCTGGTTGGGGCGGTAGGATTTTTAATTTTGGGTTGTGTACCATTATATTGCTGTGCCTGCTTCCAAAGGAGGTAAGAATTAGTACACAAACAACTACTTTTACAGTATACTGCTACTAAATGTCAAGGGTATGGACAGCTGACATACCTAAAGCCAGTGAGCAGAGAAAAGACTGGGGGAAAATAAGCTGAAAAAGTCATATGACATCATGAAAAATAAATCCTTCTATTTTGGAGCTACATAGTCAATTTGACTTCAGAGCAAAAATAAAATAGCATGTTAATGCTCCAGCAGCTATTCTAAAGACTTAGTTATAAAGAATTGGTCTTAGTCCTACTTCCCTTAACTGTGAAGCTGCATGTTGATCATATGGGCTCACAGGCTGCAGGTTAGCAGAGAAATCTCCGCATAAAGGCCTGAATGGAACTTGAACAGTAGTGACTGAATTTGAGTTCAGCTCTGTGGGAGCTGGATCCTGTCTTGGGCACGTTTGCTAGCATATGGAAGACCAGACTTTTGTTCCCTCACTTCTCCCATTTTCTTTCCATTGCCACCATCACCTCCTTTCCACACCTGCTTCCTACCACAGGCCTGACCTGCCTTCATATTTTTATATATATATATATATATAAAAATATGAAGGAAATCGGAAG